GCTGCTGAAACTGACCAGCGGCTGACTACAGGAAGCCCGAGGCAGAGTTGCTCTGCCCCAGGCTTCCTGGAATCAGCTGCTAATCAGTTTCAGCAGCAGCTGACTTGGGGATGCCTGGGGTTCTTAAGTTGAATCTGTATGTAAGTCCGAACTGGTGTCCAGATTCAGTGGCTGAATCTGGATGCCAGTTCCGACTTACATACAGATTCAACTTAAGAACAAACCTACAGTCCCTATCTTGTATGTAACCCGAGGACTGCCTGTATACCAAAGGAATACAATGAAAAAAGTGAACACATTAGTGAACACATTAAATTGACAAATCAGATTTAGAACAGAAGGTTGGGGGAGGGAGAGAGAGGGAGGGAATAGCTATTTATAAGTCAATGAATGACTAATCAGGGACCAACGTAATATATGCCATCATGTGCCAACAATGCCCCACTGCTATATACATCGGCCAAACTGGACAGTCCCTACGTAAAAGAATCACTGGACACAAATCTGATATTAGGAATGGCAACATACAAAAACCTGTAGGGGAACACTTCAGTCTCCCTGGACACACAATTGCAGATCTCAAGGTAGCCATCCTGCAGCAAAAAAACTTCAGGACCAGACTTCAAAGAGAAACTGCTGAGCTACAGTTCATCTTCAAGTTTGACACAATCAACTCTGGATTAAACAAAGACTGTGAATGGCTTGCTAACTACAAAAGCAGCTTCTGCTCTCTTGGAATTCACACCTCCAGATCAGCTACTAGAAGTGGGCCTCATCCTCCTTGATTGGATCCACCTCCTCATCTCCAGCCTGATCCTGGCCTGCATATTTATACCTGCCTCTGGAAATTTCCACTACATGCATCTGACGAAGCGGGTCTTTGCCCACGAAAGCTTATGCTCCTACACTTCAGTTAGTCTATAAGGTGCCACAGGACTCCTCGTCGCTTTAATCAGGGAAGCTGTCTCTGGAATGTGTAATTAGCAATTACAAAGACAGCTTCCCCAGATATCACCCAGATTAGTCATTCATTGACTTATAAATAGCTATTCCCTCCCTCCCTCCCTCCCTCTCCCTCGCCCAACCTTCTGTTCTAAATCTGATTTGTCAATTTAATAACGTGTTCACTTTTTTCCTTGTATTCCTTTGGTATATATGGTCATGCCAATTCTCTTTCAGAATATGATCTGAGGAAGTGGGTCTGGCCCACGAAAGCTCATCACCTATTAAACCATCGTGTTAGTCTTTAAAGTGCTACACAGTTTTTCCTTTTGTTTTATCTGTAGGAATGTTATAACCAGGGCTCGACAATTAGGGCAATCTACTTGCCCATGGCAAGTAGATTTTAGCCCGGCATGGCGCCGCAGCACGATCAGCGCGGTCTGCACATGTGCAGGTGCCAAACCGCGCCGCCAGCGAGCGGGATTGGCAAGCGGGGCTCACCGCCGCTTGTCAAGCCCTGGTTATAACTTTGGGTGAAACTTTTGCTCAGCCTTAACTTCAGCTTTACAAAGTCTTGGATATTTTGGCATAGGAATATTGTAAGTTTTTAAATGTTTCCAAATCGGTCAGAAGCCCTGGGTTAGTCTGAACTTCTGTCCCAGCCTCTAGACCGGGGTGGGGAAAGTTTTTGGGTCCGGAGCCGCTGACCCATAGAAAAAATCAGTCAGGGGCCACACACAAGAGAGAAGCCCCTGACTGAGAAGGAAAAAGACGCCCCCCAGACCCTCCCTCACACACCAGAGCCGAGGAGGGCCCAGGCTAGTAGAATGTGTGCGCTCCAGCCCCGTGGAAGAATGGTGGGAGGGAGGCTGGAGTGCCAGTGCAGGGTCCACAATGTGCTGAGATTCCTGTGCCTCAGGGGCTGGATCCCAGCAAGCCGGGGGCCACATCCGGCCCTAGACCATATTCCCCCCACCAAAAGAAAAGTCTTTATGACACTGCCCTCACCTTCTGACATGCAATTTGAAACAGGAGTACTATCTGGAAACACTTGTTTAGGACTCTCGGTATGGGATCTTGTTGAGGGCACAGTCAGGAGGGACACAGGAGAAGTGCTATACTTGTGGTTAGTGTTAGTAAGTAACTCGGCTATTTCCGATTCATCCTCCAAACCGGTTATTAAAGAATACATGACAGGTTCATTAGACTCTGCAGACATCAAGGCCTTTCCATAGAGGAACTCAGCGATGTGCAAGCGACAAGCCAGAGGTAGGTTCTCATTGGTGGAATAAAATGCCACAATGGGTGCCTGATAGGGGTATTTGTTACCCTCTGGGAATCTAATTTCAAGTTCGTACAAAGGCGAGGTGTCTCCATTCGATCGGAGGTGAGCATCTTCCACAGAATTCTGGAATGTTCTTGGCAGGTGCTTAGAAGGCGTTTCATGTTGGAACTTGCATCTTGAGCCAAACCTGCAGGTCCCTTGAAGGTAAAATGTACAGACTTTATTTGAAGTCTGGTTTGCCACATCTTTGGCAGCACTCGCCTTTTGTTTGGTTTTGCTGAGTTTATTTGTCAAGTGCTCCAGTTCCAATCCAATTGTCCAAACTCTGTTTTTAATTCTTTCCACAAATTTTTCTCCGTAGATGGAACGGAGAGCAAAAGCCTCCTCTTGCCTCTGCTCCAAGCATTCTTCTATACTGGCCTGACTGGCTGCCTCTGCGATTTGCATCCTCTCTCCATATCTTTCGGAGAAGCACTGCGACAGCAAGTGTTCCAGCGAGGCGCCAATGTTACCATTGCAGGACCTCAGCATCGCCCGACAGCGCTCGCTATCAAAGCCATACCTGCAGCAGAATGGAGAACCACATTGCAAAAGACCAGCCAAACAGGACGTCACTGCAGAGCTAGTCAATCCAACTAATATAAGCTTACATGGAATCAGGCATCAGTACTTTTTTGTTTGAAATATTTAAGAGCATTTTAGTGCTCATGGGAGCTATGGAAACAGAAATCCATTGTTTAGTCAGTCTGTGATACATTCATCCATTCTGTGAACCCTCCACATTTCGGAGAATACCACATGCCAGCTATGGGATTATTAAGCCATCCCGTGCAAAGTCAACTTTTCAGAGACAGTTTAGAGACAGAAAGCTTTCATATATATATATATATATATATATATAAGCTGATGACTGCTACAGGATAGCTAGCATGTATGAACTATAACAAAGGAAATCTACATGGTCTAGAGCAGTGTTTCTCAACCTTTTTTTATGAAGTACCCCTTTAAAAAAAAAATTATAAGTACCCCAGTACCTACAGTTTTCAGACACACAATTTTTTTTTCTACCATTGCGACACATTTGTTTAAACAACTTAATCGTAGCCGGGCAGGCGATGAAGTTTTTGAGGATAAAAAGTACAAAAATAATAAAGCGCTATAAAACTTGGAACAAAAATTCAGTTTTCTCCACATTTCAGTTGTGTTGATGTACCCCCCAGACTTCTCTCGAGTACCCCTAAGGGTACTTGTATCACTGATTGAGAAACACTGGTCTAGAGCAGTGGTTCCCAACCTTTTGGAGCATACAGACCCTTTTCAATCTATTAAAATTTCATAGAACCACCCCCCCACTCTGGGGGAGGAAAAAAAGAAAAGGAAAAGAAAAGATCCTTACTTTTAAACTTTCCACGGACCCCCTGCAATACTGTCACAGACCACCACAGGTAGGGAACCACTGGTCTAGAAATATTTAATATTTGCCCCCTGGAACTACCAAAATTGAACAAAAATACTTCCTGTTTCCACTAACTATCCTGCAGATTTTACAGTATCTATTTCTGATTCTTGGAAAGACAAATGAAACCACCAAACTTCTCCAAGGCTGGGATGATTTAAGTGTTATTTGAAGCACGTTCACAAAAGAGCTGACTCTTTTAGTCCTCTGCATGCAGAACTCCTACTGGATTCCGCAAGAGGATCGTGCACTGAAGGCTTAAAGTACAGTTTCTGGACATGCAAGTATATTATCTATTGTGGACAGAATCACCTGGAAAGTTTATGCACAGCAAATGAAGACACTTCACTTTCCACCATTTTATGTTCAGCTGGTTCAGAAACCACCCTTGTCGTCACTTCAGAAGTCTCTTGGTCTGCTGACCAGCACTGCTCGTCATCAAGATAATCAGATTCATCGTCGTCGTCGTCACCTGATGCAGCCATTCTGATAGATATCGAAACGACAGTATCATTATCAATTGGAATTAAATGCAAAACAGTGTTCCTGGTGCAAAAAGAGAATTCTAACTCCTGCCTTCACTGATTTAGTACAGGGGAAGGTGGAGGGGGATTCAAACTTGTAGCATTTCAGGTAAAGTGAAAATTTAAGAACACAATGCTTTTATTTATAATGTCTGCTAAAATATTTCATAACCTAAATGACATAATAGGCCTGGACAGTGTTAATTGGCAGAATTCAATTTAAAGAGCAAAAATACTGTACACAGCAAACATCTGAAACTATGGGTTTTCTTTAATAATTCTTGTTCACAACTTAGGAATCCTAGCTATTTTTCCTATGGAAGTCCTGTCTCTATATGGATCTGCTAGAGGGCCACAAAACCACCCCAAACATTCAAGAATTACCATCAGAGATTAAAATTTGATATTCCTGATATTTCTAAAGATATTAAAAATAAGGACTTCTTTGTACTTCATAAAGCACAGCAAACAAACAAAAAAAACCAAAAAATCAAACCAAACCAAAAGCCATTTTCCCCTCTTCTAGCCAACTTTTAAAAAGATAAGGGAGAAGGAAATTACTTTCAGAGGAGGTGGTAAATCAGGGTACGTCTACACTGCACGGCTATTTCGGGATACCGTCTTCACAAGCCGCCCATTATTTTGAAATATTTTTTGAAATAACAGGCGTGCTATTTCAGCATCCCAGTAACCCTCGTTCCACTAGGGTTAAGGATGTCTCGAAATAGCGTGTTATTTTGAAATTTGGTGCTGTGTACATGCACCAAATTTCAAAACAGCCTATTTCGAAATTCAAGCAAAATGAGATACACAATTTGCATAGCGCAAATTGCGTATCTTATTTCGAGTTTAGGGTGCTGTGTAGACGCCCCCTCAGAGAGGTTAAAAACATTAGAAGGTGCATATTTCTAACAATTTACCTCTGGAAAGTTCCTTTAATCTAAAGAAATCCCAAATTACACACCACCCAATGCCATGGTCATGTAATGATCTCTGGTGTAGAACCTAGTAGCCATTTAATAGTAACAATAATATTACATGCCAGTTTGCTAACAGGAAAGGAAGAATTTTTTACTAAAACCTATTCCAACACAGCAACTATGACACCATACACTACAGATCAGATTTTGGGGAAGGGTCCTGACTTTAAGCAACATCATGACATTTTATAATAGTGCCCAGTGAATGATGGAAAAAAGGTTAGAGGCTTTCACGCGCAAAGTATTTCTCCTCTAAGCAAAGATACTCAAGTAAAGCAAATGATCTAGGGGGGTTTTGTTTGTATAAACTAACTCTGAACTAGCAGACAGCTCTTGTTTCTGGAGTTCTCGGAGGAGTTCTTTCACCCTTTGCTGATTCTCGGACGTCATATGTATGGTCTGCAAAGGCATCCTTGTTTCAGGTTTCGATTTGGCTTGCCCTCCTCTTTGGATAGCGCAGCTTGATCTGAAAGTTAAAGCACCCACACACAAATTCCATGTTTATTTATGTAACTGAAATGATGCAGACTAATCAGATTCCAACATCAAGAATCCAACAGAAGATTTAAAGTGAGGGTTCCTCCAACTCACAGACACAATGGAACTCTTGGCTGTGTTTGTTGGAGGTTCTTTAACAACAAAGACACTTTATTGATTTTGTGTCAGATCCTCGCTGTTTTCAAGCCATTTGGCTAGATAAAATCATCAGGGGTTACAATACAGCAAAGCATGTTTGGCTAGAGTATATTTTGGGTAAAAAAAAATCTGACCATGAGGCATGCACGTAAGATTATATGATAAAGAGAGAGAGTTTGGCAGATCACACATTGGCATTAAAACATGCATTAAACTGGAAGTGTAAACCTTGAGTTGAAGTTAGCTTTAAGGGGTCAGTAATGCGACAAGTAGAAATCTTTGCCAGAACGTACAGATTTTTATTTTAAAATGAAAATTAACTTTTTCATTGTTCACATTTTAAATGGAGGTTGCTTACAAGGCTTGTCCACTTTTTCTTCTAGAATTGTACTATCTATTGTCACTAATCAGTAAGAAGGCTGCTATAGACTTAGTGTTACTTAGTTGCTCTGGTGAAAAAATGTTGTACCCGAGAGAAAAGTGCCACTGCCACAAGCAGCAGGAAGTGGAAGGCTGTATGTGAGTACAGCTCCCCAGGAAGCCAGGAGATGTTAAATCGTGCTCTTCCAACCTCTGTCTCAACTAGCCTGAAATCCATCACCTGGAAACTTGGCCTATTCTCTTTACATTTCAAACACTCAAAAGCTGTTCAAAAAGGGGATCTCAAAAGTCCGACGATCTTAACCCCCAAAGGAAACGAGTAATAATAATAACCTGGATACAACTGGCGGTTCCTCAACAAAGCAAAAGTCGTCCTCGTCATCCCAGATTTTGCTTGCTCCCTTCCTATTTCCACCACCATGAGATTTGTTACACTGCCCTCTGCCTCGGCCGCTGCCGCCTCCTCCGCCTCTGCCTCGCCCTGGTCTTCTTCCTCCGCCTCTATTCGGCCTTCCTCTTCTCTTCCCTGCAGAACTCATTTTCTCTTACTAAGAAAAGAAAAAAATGTTAAACAAATATTCCACACAGTCCATGTTTCTTAGGGCACGTAATACTCTTTAAGGTATTTATATGGTACAATACAGAGCCTTGCCCAGCTCACAGGCCCAAGAAGCACGTGTGCTCAGCTACAGTACAAAACTGTCAAATACAAAAGCATTTAACACAAAAGCTATTCTGGTCTCTTGTGATAGCAGGTTTTTGCTACCATAACCATAGCGTTGGTGCTTTTATTTCTTCATCTGAAAAATGAGTCTAGTAACAATGCTTCGTGTTTACCTCTTTTCATTGGTAGATCACAGATCACTTTGAAAAGGCAGGTCAGTGTTATGAGCCTATCACAGGTGGCCCAACTATGTCCTCATGAAGACTTAGAATTTGCATCCACTCAGAGATCCTTAAGCATTCAGGAAAGCAAGCTGGGGTTTGCCCCAACTGAACTCATCAGAGATTTCCCCACTTTGCAAAACACAGTCCGGATGGGTCTGCATTCATTTTAGGGGGCTTAAATGAGAGAGGCCATTGCCTTCCGTGTGTTGTCTCATGTCTCCTCAGCAGCTTTGGCCCCACTTTTTCACACTGCAGTTCTAATGGGGACTCACTGATGGAACTTTCAGAGGGGGATCCGAGTTAGTCTGCAACAGGAAAAACTAAAAAACCAACAAATAGTCTAGTAGCACCTTAAAGACTAACAAAACATGTAGATGGTGATATGAGCTTTCATGGGCACAACCCACTTCTTCAGATGACTGAAGTATGAGAAGTCCAGATCCAAGAACAAATAAGGGGAGAGGAGAGGAAAGAAAAAAAAAGGAGGGGGAAAGGAGAAAAAAAGAGAGAGAGAAAGAGAGTGAGCAGATGGTTCAAATAGTTACAAGAACAATTAGCACCTCCATTGTTTGGTTGGTAGGTTAAGCCATAGGATGTGGAAGATAGTGTGCAAGCCAGCCTATCTTTGTTCATACCATTTGCATAAGAATTAATCTTGTGAATGAAGTTAAGTGCCAATCCTTCTCTGTACATTTGGCTTGTGGGACTGGCCTGAAACACAGGTGACTTGGAGATCCATTAATGAGTGTTCAAGTAGATTAAAGTGTTCTCCAACAGGTTTTAGTGTGTTGTCTTTTCAGCGATCTGATTTGTGTCCATTCATTCTTTCCCCTAGAGACTGTCCAGTTTGGCCAATATTCATGGCAGTGGGGCATTGTATGGCATAATCTAGATCACATTAGTGGATGTGCAGTTAAATGAGCTCTGATTTGGAGGCTGATGTGGTTGGGTCCAGTGATGAAATCGCTTGTGTAGATGTGTGGGCAGTGTTGGCACCGGGGCTGATTGCAGGGGTGGGTTCCTGGGTGATTATGATAGAGGTGTGTTGCGTGCTTACTGGAAAGAATTTGTTTGAGGTTAGGGGGTTGTCTGTAGGTGAGGATTGGCCTTTCCCCCAAGGCCTGTGAAAGTGAGGGGGTCATTTTCCAGGATAGGTTGTAGATTGATGATAATGTGTTGGAGGGGTTTAAGTTGTGGACTGTAGGTGATGACAAGTGGAAGTCAGCTGATCCCAGGCTCCATGCGGCACTGCCGCTTTGAAATGCCCAGCTGGTCTTTGACTGCACGTGAGGAGAGGAGAGGAGAGGAGAGGAGAGGAGAGGAGAGGAGAGGAGAGGAGAGGAGAGGAGAGGAGAGGGAGGGACTAGTTGCTCACATCCCTAGTTTGTGTGTGTGGTTTTTTTGGTAGGGTCCTCACTTTTGTGCAGCCCCCAACTGATATCTCTGTAGGTTAGTGGCCCCTGCCCCAGAAAAGGCTCCCCCACTGCATTAAAGGATCTCCACTGGGAAGTGTTTATTACTTTTACACCCTAAAGCTTGTAGGGCTGGGGAGGAGGAGGATGCATGTTCCCCTACCTCAGCTCTTCTTTAGCCTGCTCACTGCGTTAAGTGGCTATCCATACTGCTGAGTGCTTTCTAGAACCCGGGAGGACATTGCCACAGACATGGTTGTGTCTTCTGTACAGAAGGGAAAGGTCTGTGTGTAGGGTCTTCTCTTTAAGGGCATAGCCAAGCTCTCTCAACAGAGATCTAAAGGGATCTGCACGAGTCACTGGAGTCTAGTGGATAAGACATGAGTCTAACCATACCTCTCAACCGTCAGTCCTGCCATTACATGACACAAGCCATTGAAAACCTATGACAGAAGACCAAAAAGTGGCACATCTGTATTTTGTTGCACATCACAACCTAAACAACAGCCTATAAGAGCTTTTCTCTGTAACACTGACTGTGCAGGTTGATTTCTCATTGTGGAATTCAATAAGGCAGTTTTTAAAAAAGAAAACTAGAAAGACAAAAAGCATGATATGCAATCGCAAAGAATCCTGGCAATTACCCAAGCCAATGGCATACTGTACCAACGCCGCACATCTGGTGAAGATACTCTCCGGAGACAGGAGAGCGCTCTCCCATCAGCATAATAAAACCATCTGCACAAAAAGCTGTGTTGGCGGGAGAAGCTCTCCTGCCAAAACAGTGTCACGCACACAAGCTCTTCGGACAGTGTAACTTGCGTCTCTCGGGGAGGGTGTCTATTCACACCCCAGAGCTTTCTAACAGGAAGGAGCTATGCACAGTGGAGAAGGAAGCGACTATACCAGCGACGTTGCTGCAAGGGCGCCCGATAGCGTCTGAATCCCGAGCAGCAGCGCCAGGAGGAGCACTGGGCAGAAGCCAAGGTGCCTGCAGCTGGCCACAGCCACTGCTAAGGCTGGCCTGTCTGCAGGTTGACACCTTCCCCGGAGAGGAAACTGACATCCAGAACCCCACACAAAAGCAACTCCATCGCCCCCCCCGGCCCCCCAGTGCCACCACAGCTGCTCTTCTGCATAAAGGCAAAGGTAGGAACTCCCAGGGTACAGAGTTCTTCAGAGAAACTCACAACAAGTGACAGCAAAGGGCTTTAATTCATCCCCCTGCAGCAGTCAGTGCTGCTATGGCCTGCAGGGATTCACTCCTGCAGTGATTATGGTAGCTTGAGGTTGCACTGCTGTCTACCAGTAGATGGGCAGTTCCAGTCCCACAGTGCCACAGCAGCTTCCTGTGTCTTTGCCATTGCACCCAAACAAGACTGCAATCAAGAAGATTAACAGAGAGTAGAGTGGAGAACGAACCGTTCCATACTGAGTGGTGAGTTTTATTTTCTCTCTTGCTAACTGTATCACCTTCCCAATGTGCTCAAGTCAAGGAACTGGAAACAATGTGAAAATGAAAGAGCTGCCATTGAGAGATGGGTGCCGCATGTCTGGCGATGAGTGTTGCTTTGCAAATATCCAGGAGCCTGGTCTGGCTTTTAGGTGAGGTGTGAGGTTCAGACATGAACTTTCCCCCTGCTGCACAAAGGCTGTGGAAACAACATGGGGATGGATCCTGAGCTGGTGCCAATTGTCATAGTTCTACTGTGATGACCATTTTTATATCAGTTGAGATCTGCCCCAGTCTCTCTAAGTAACGAACCATCAGCTGGTTAGGACAGGACAGTAGAGTCTGATTGGCTATGGGGTTAGAGGTTAGCAAAAAAAGGATGTGCTACAATGAATCAGCCAATCGCCTTAGGAGCCTTTATCATTGAAACTTTCAGTGGAGTCCACAACTATAACCTACATCTCTTCTTCTCGTGGAATGGAGGTCGGTTCTTATTTCAGGCTTGTAGTGCTGATAGAATAAACTGCTATCTTAAGTCAAGTCTATGGTTGCTTCTAAATCATTGGAAGGACCCCAGTCCCTTTGTTAGAATGATGCTATTAGTTTTAGTGCATAGCCTAGTGTTTTGAGCAGAAAAGAGACTGAGGAGGGAGAGAGGCAAAACTGAAGTGTTTCAAGTGCCCCTTCTGGCTTTTCCTGTGTGAAGGGAACCCCACTGTACTTCCTGTGGAAAATTACAGGTAAAGATTGAGTCACCTGGACAAGTTAACTGGTAATTTTTAAATAGCAAAGAAGAAAGAGTTGTACGTGTTCAAAAATATATTTGGTATCCAATAATTAAAAGACAGAATTGTCTAACAATAGGAAATTAGAGGAGAAGGGATTGTGATTAGGATGCTGGTGACTCAGAAAAAATATTGACGTTCCTAGGTCCCTCTCAGACTTCCTTTGTGACCTTGGGAATGTCATTTATTCTCTTTTTACATGAGTTCTCCATCTGTAAAATGAGACTGATATTCCTTCATTTGTCTTTATCTAGGGTACAAACTCTAGAGACAAAGACTCCCTCCTACTGGCTGTACAGCACAATATTGGTTGGCGTATTGGGCTTCTGTAATACAGCTAATGATGTGTGGTCAGTAAAAAGACCTTGTAGTTTATTTACACTCTCATAATAATGAATGGAGAGAAACCTATTTTCAAGTTATTCCTCTTTCCCCACTCTCCACCAAAGAAAGATGAACATTGAGCATAGTGAGCTCATCAACTCATTTCTCCCGCCAGAGCTCACCACCCCATGGCCTCATCTATATACCCACTGCCAGAAATTTGGTTCCCTGCCTCTGGCCGGGGGCTGGCTGTGTTCAATACAGTACCCGCTCCTTGCAGGTTGGGCTGCCAACCGACCCTCCAGGATTGTCCTGGAGTCTCCAGCAATCGAAGCTTAAACTTTAATTACAGGTTATGTGATGGGATGAAACCTCAGGAATATGCAACCCTAGTCACCAGCAACTTGACTGTAGCACCCAGCACGTGACTTTATGAACGCAGAATCAGAGGCCTGTTCATTCCCTTTTGCCAGGGTTTCGAGCAGAAGTGTCACTGCAGCTTGTTCAGCACGTAGCATCATGTTTGCTCACTGATCTGAGCAGAATACCTCCTTATTGATATAGGCTGCCTTTAAGAAGTGGCAAATTGCCCTTACATTAGTACTCGCTTTATACAGCCTGACACTGTCATAGAGGTTCTAGCTAAATTTACTGTCTTGCGTGTGACCCTCATAATGATGAGGACCTGGGCCATTAAGCCAGGGTTGGCAGTTTTGGTTGGAGGTTTTATCACATGACACATTTAAGATGAACCTTCAATACCTGAGCATGCCAGGACGAACCTGGAGCGTTGGCAATGGAAACCTTACATGGAAGCCCACCTTTTAACCATCCCGTAATTGCATCTGATATGTGCAAACGGCTGTGCTTTGTAGTGGTGGGTCCTAAAAGTGGAACTCGCTGTCTGGAATATGTGTCTGCTCATCTCTTCCCCACGTTCAGAAAAGAAAAAAAAACCTCAACTTTTTTTTTTCAAAGGTTCTTTTTATTGTGACTACTGTTGTCCTATGAATATTACATTTCCCCAACTATTTTTCCCTTCTTTTTCTACTGGATGCTAACATTTGTGCCTGGCCTCAGTGTTAAGAGTGTTTCTTTACATGATGGTCTTGTAGCACCGTGGATCATCTGAAGAAGTGGCCTGTGCCCACGAAAGCTCATGATACCATCTACATGTTTTGTTAGTCTTTAAAGTGCTACCAGATTATTTGTTGTTTTTTGAAGTTTATCCTATACAGACTAACTCGGCTACCCCCTGAAGCAGCAAAAAATATATACAGGCAGTCCCCGACTTACGCGGATCCGACTTATGTCCGGGGCAAAGGAGCAAAGCCGGGGCAAAGGACCTGTGCGGCTTTGCTTGGGTCTCCCTGCTGTGCTGGGGGGGACTCCCCTCCCAGCACAGCAGGGAGACAGGAGCAAAGCCGTAGAGGCGGCGGGACCTCTGCGCCTCCGCGGCTTTGCTCGGGTCTCCCTGGTCTGCTGGGGGGGAGGGGGTGCAGCTAGTGCCCCCCCCGCCCCCTCAGCAGACCAGGCTTTTGTTGTGGGACGCCTGGGGTAGAGCAGCTGGGGTGCTGCCGGGTTGGTCCTGCGGGGACCTACCCGGCAGTGCCCCAGCTGTTCTGTCCCAGGAGTCCAGATTCAGCCGCTGTTGAAACTGATCAGTGGCTGATTCCAGCAAGCCGGGGGCAGAGCAACTCTGCCTAGGGCTTCCTGTAGTCAACCGCTGATCAGTTTCAGCAGTGGCTGAATCTGGAGCCAGTTCCGACTTGCATACAAATTCAACTTAAGAACAAACCTATAGTCCCTATCTTGTGCGTAACCCGGGGACTGCCTGTAAATAGTAGCATGAGCTTTCGTGGGTACAACCACAAAGAAGTCATCTGGAGAAATGGGATGTGCCCACGAAAGCTTATGCTACTATCTATATTTTTTGGTTAGTCTCTAAGGTGCTACAGGACCATTGTTTTTAAGGGTTTTTTTGGTTCCAAACTAATACTGCTACCACCTCAGACTTTTCATAATGTTTTTCTATTTTAATTTGTATTGTACAGTAGCCTGAATGCCTTGGATGAAGGACACAGACATGTTATAAATACAATTATATGATTGATTTGATTCTAGTTGAGTTAAAGGCTTGGATTCCAAAATAACAGTAAAAAATTAGACATTTTCTTTTAACAGGTCCTGAAGTGTATAGAATATCTTTTGTATTTCCCAATAATGACAAGTATGGTAAGAAATTCTTGAGAGTTATTTCACACTTATCTTGTTATCTTATCCATTTTAAAAATTACTGTTATGTCAAAACTAGGGTAACTGGATAGTAAGTGTGAAAAATCTGGACAGTGTTATGGCAGGAGAGAGAGTATAGATGCGTAGATTAGACAAAGTCCCTAATATCGGGACAGTCCTGATAATATAGGGATGTCTGGTCACCCTACTTAAAATTGAGTTTGTCGTATCTACTGCATTGCAGTGACAGAGGTCAAAGCATTTTAGTTTACAAATCTATTTAAATAGGCAAAGAGAATGTTTCAACAACACATCTTGCTTACTAGTAAAATTGAAATCCCTAATGGGTGATGGAAACTAAGTGAATTTGTTTTCTCATCGTTGCTCCAATTATTCCAAACCTTAAGACTTTGGTTACCTAAAACATCATTGCTTTGGTTGGGAAGACAGGATGAGACTGCTTTTAGGACAAAAACCTGGCTTGATTGAAGTCAATGGCAAAACTCCAACTGACCTCATTGGGACTAGGCTTTGATTCTGAGAGTTTACCATCTAAACCCCCAATCCTACAGTCAGAACTGCACCAGCAGACTCCTACACCTGTGTGAGGGCTGCTGAAGTCAGCAGAGTTTGTACTGATGCGTCAGTCCACTCACACTGCTCTGATTCCAGGATTAGGATCATAATTAGCTAGTGGAGTCAATTCATGTTGAATCTCCCAAATGCAGGACTCTGGTATGGCAACACCTGTGGTCCGGCAGGGCCAGGAATGTTGCTGGACCAAAGACCCTCATGCAGGGGCTGCAGAGCCCTGGCTGGGCCAGGCAGATTCTGGGGAGCCCCAGCCAGGGAACCCCCAGCATTAGTGGGGGAGTCCCAGCCCCAGCTGGGACTGAAGCGGGGCTGGTGGAGGCAGGTGGCTAGAATCCCCAGTAGCAGCAGGGCGGCCCTAGTAGCGGGACGGGGTAGCCTAGTAGCTGGCTGAGAACTAAGGATGTTAAATATCGAGTAATTTACTAGTCAAGTAGTTGATGGAATTTCCATCGACTAGTCAATAGGCACTTCCGCATTCCCATCGGGGGCTCTTGTACATTTCAAAGCAGTAACGTGGAACTCTGCATGCAGTCCGGGGTCAGTGGGAAGTCCCGCTGACTCCAGACTGCATTTCAAAGCCGCAGTGCAGCATGGAGCCCGGGGTCAGCGGGGGCCTCAGAGTCACCTGTTGACTCGGGGCTTCATGCTGCGCTGCCACTTTGAAATGCCACGCTAGGATCCTGGGCTCAGCTGTGCAGTGCTGCCACTTTCAAGTACCCATTCTTTCCCCCCCTTTGCTGCCTCTGTCTGATAGAGGGAGCAAGTGGAGGGGGGGGGGAATCGACTAGTCGATTGACTATCCAATAAACAAATGCTTATCTGATAGTCGACTAGTCTTTAACATCCCTACTGAGAACCCCGGAGAACACCCTGCAGCAATGGGACCGGCGGCAGCCAAGTATCCCTGCCGGGAACCCCAGGAGACCCTGGGGCAATGGGCAGGCAGCAAGGTGGAGACCCATGGCGGGCCAGCTTTAGTGGGGCCAGTGGCAGGGCAGGGAGCCCCAAGGAGAGGAGTCTGGGAGTGGGGCAGCTGGCAGGGGCACACTGACCTCCCCTGGTCCGGCAAACTCTCTGGTCCTAAGGGTGCTGGACCAGGGAGGTCCAACCTGTACTATGTTATGCACATCTCCAGTAAGGCCTAATCTTGCTTCCACTGAAGTCATCAGTGAAACTCCCACTGACCTCAGTGGTGCAAAGTTAGTCTCACAGACTTGGGTGTGACTCTTTTGTTAGTCAAGAGTGTGGAAAACCTGTCTGAGAAGATCATCTGAATTTTCTGCATGGCAGCATAGAACTTTTATTATTATAAGTCACCCGATTGCCCTACATCTGAGTGGCACAAATAAGTGAGAATATTGAGCCATATTATTTAAAGCCAAAAGGGACCATTCTGATCCTCTACATTGACCTTCTCCTGACACACACTTTATAGGAGACACTTCTGCACAGGGAGTGAAATGGATTAAATAATAATAATTGTTATCTCTGATCTAATAGGTCTTTTGCTTCTCTAACTCCCAGAGATATGTTTTAAGATTTTTGGTTAAATACTACCTGATTGAAATGGAAATGATTGTTTGAATTTCAATTTAATAAAAGTACCTGAGTTTCTGTGATGACTTTTTTGCTTCTCTTGTTTTAGATGGTGAGTGTATCAGAACACCTGATGGTGCTCTGGTGAGGCATGGAGATGGAATTCATACCACACCCAATGGAATTATTTACACAGGAACCTGGAAAAATGATAAGGTAATTTAAATGTTCTCTCTTTTTAAACTTTTTGTAGGATTGCAATTAACATTAATTAATTTTCCATTAGTTCCCACTGGTTATCTAGTTGTACATAACAAGCCATGGATTGTCTTTCTGAATTACAGTAAAACTCCGATGGTCCGGCATCTGATGGGCCGGCACCATCAGGAACCTGGAAGTGCTCCGGGCAGCCGGACCATTAGAGCTGCTCTGCCCCCAGCTTCCCCAATTCAGCCGCTGCTAAAACTGACTAGCGGCTGAATCGGGGAAGCTCTGGTTATCTAGTTGTACATAACAAGCCATGGATTGTCTTTCTGAATTACAGTAAAACTCCGATGGTCCGGCATCTGATGGGCCGGCACCATCAGGAACCTGGAAGTGCTCCGGGCAGCCGGACCATTAGAGCTGCTCTGCCCCCAGCTTCCCCAATTCAGCCGCTGCTAAAACTGACTAGCGGCTGAATCGGGGAAGCTGGGGGCAGAGCAGCTGGAGTGCCACCGGGTAGGTCCCGTAGCGCTGCTCCTCGGGGCTGAGGGACCAACCCAGCAGCACCCCAGCTGTCCCCGATTCAGCCACTGCTGAAACTGACCAGCGGCTGACTACAGGAAGCCCGAGGTAGAGCTGCCCTACCCCCGC